TGCTTTGAGCATTGCCACTTTTAATGCATCCTTCAAGTCGACACAGTCAACTGTCTCCCTTCTTTTTTGAGAGAAGGTTAAGATTTTTTTTCCACACCATATAACAATATTCTTCATATGGATCAGATCGTCTTCATACTGTCCCTTGATGGCTAAACACAAGGAAGTACAAATACCTCTTCATTAGCTTGACACATTCTAGAGGGAAATTTAAAAGGGAAGCTTTAGTTGAAGTTGCCATGAAGCAAAGCATCCACTTACAGCCAGTTTAGATACAAAGCTAAGGTTATTGACAGCAGTTTTAAAGTTACTGACATGGGAACCATTCAACCTTTATTCAGCCCCACACTATTCTGTAGAGTATACAATATGTCTTAAAAATGAGGTCCCATGGTCACTGTTGTACATCAGTAGTTCTAAAAATCATTGCAGTTCTGTTCACTGGACACTGCTGCTGCCATGGAATTGCTGCAGTAGCTCTGATTACTTGGAATAGTGTTTGTGGACATTTTAATGGCATCACTCTATTAATAACACCTCACTTTGAAAATAGCTGATCAAATCTTAATCTGGTGTAAATCAGCACAGTTCTCAGTCAGTGGCGTGAAGGCAGTTTTTATCTGCAGAGCACTTGGCAGGGCAACTGTTCAAATATGAAAGACCAATGTGTGCAAGGTAGAATACCTTTATCCTTTCCCCTTCCTTTCTTTCAATGTAGAAATTAAACAAGATTTGAAGGCCTTCTACAGGTGCAGAATAGGTTACAAAAGTTGACATAGGACATACCTCAGCTTTGATGATCAGAAATTGGGGGTATCGGTCGATGAAAAACTCAACAGGAGCCAGCAATGTGCGTTGGCAGCCCAGAAAGCCAACAGCATCCTGGGCTGCATCAAAAGAAGTGTGGCCAGCAAGGCCAGGGAGGTGATTCTGTCCCTCTGCTCTGCTCTGCTCTGCTCTGGTAAGACCTCATCTGGAGCGCTGCGTCCAGTTCTGGGGCCCCCAATATAAGAAGGAATAGCTCCTGCTATTGGAGCAGATCCAGAGGAGGGCCATGAAGATGATCAGAGCACAACTGGAGAGTTGGGGCTGTCCAGCCTGGAGAAGAAAAGGCTGCAGGGAGACCTTATTATATTCTTCCAGTACCTGAAAGGGGCCTACAGGAAAGCTGGGGAGGGACTTTTTACCAGGGCAGGTAGCGATAGAACGAGGGGGAATGGTTTTAAACTGGAAGAGGGGAGATTTAGGTTGGATATTAGGCAGAAATTCTTCACTGTGAGGGTGGTGACACACTGGCACAGGTTGCCCAGGGAAGCTGTGGATACCCCCTCCCTGGAAGTGTTCAAGGCCAGGTTGGATGGGGCTTTGGGCAGCCTGGTCTGGTGGAGGTGTCCTTGCCCATGGCAGGGGAGTTGGAACCAGGTGATCTTAAGGTCCCTTCCAACCCAAACCATTCTGTGATTCTATGAATTCATTTCACAAGTAGCGAGTCATCAAAATAACAGTACACAGATTCTGCCGGATGACATTTTCAATGGGGTTGCAGAATAGGGAAGTGACTTCATGGTTCATTCAATGGTCTGGGGAGTGAAGTAGATTGTGCTCGAAGAATGCTCTGTTCTGCCAGTTCTTGAGTGTTTGATGCAGCCTCTGCTTTTGAAATTCTCCTCTACCTTCCTGAGATGGTTGAGACAATGTTTAAGAGGTGATTCCCTTCACGGTTTTGTTGCCACATTTGTTGTTTTGTAGCTGGATCTCAGCACCTCCCTTTCTTCCTTTAAAACTGCTGTGGAACCTGCTGGTGCTGCTTAGAAGAAGCTACAGCCTAGTTGTAGGCTGATATCCATGATATCCATGGATTTGACAGTGGGAAATCAGCTAATAGCCTGTAAGGCTCTCCAATCTCAGCAAGATGACTGGGGAGATCAATTCAGTGTTCTGCCCCAGTACTCATTAATTCCTGTTGCAAAGAAAATAATTTTTTTCCTTTCAGAAGATGTGATCTATGCAGTAAACCAGTCATGTATTTATTTTGTCACTTGGATTATGTTTCTGTAACAGAGCTATGCTCATAAGGATGTAAGTTCTGGCATTTTTCCAGTTATCAATACTGAAATATTAGTGATCAAGCATTTACTGAATGCCATTCCTCAAATACAGGGTTTCCACAGCATCTTGTTCCATTCATGGAATTCATTTGTTTGCATTATCTGGCTCACCGATTCTTTTGTATTGTCAAGGTGATGAACAGATTCGACATTTAGCTGATTACTTCACCAAAATTAAACAGAAAACAGGGCAGGAATCCAAAGTTCCTTTCAGTGTGAAAGTTAATTATAAAAATGCTTTGAGCAGCACTTTCTTTTTGGATGTTAAAGTGCTTTTATTAGATTGTTGCTCTGTCATTTTAAAATTTATTGCTAGACACTTATAAATGGAGTTGCCTGCTGGAGTAGAATTATTTTATTTATTATATTTAAGACAAGAGACAAAAGTGTACAGAGCAAATTTCAGGCTGAATTTGTTAGTATTTCATATTATTCTGAACAGAAAGGAGAAAAACTAACTAGTACTGGCTTTCATCGATCCAAAATATGCATTTTATGCTTATGCTGCATAAAAAGATAGATTTACTTTTATTTAAAATTCAGCAACTCCCAATTTTCAAAAACAATTACTTAGCAAATAAAAAAATCAAGTATGTAATTTAAAAGTTGACTACAGCCCTTGTATTATTACAAGCTTGTATTTTATAGTGTAGATAAAAACAATCAGTGATGATGGAAAAGCCTAATCATGTGCTTGTACCTGTCTTTCATAAGCCATTACTTGTTCTGAAATTGCATAAAACTGCTCTAAAGTAATTTTGTCAAGGTCACTGAATAAGAGTTGGCCAAGTGAATTTTAACCAGTAAATTTAGAGCTGTATCCTGTTACCAGATCTTAGAAGTTGTTTTTTTATGAAGTACTTTTTGAGTGCTGTGGAATATATTTAATTTTTTATACTGACTGTTGTTATTAGCATCCTTCAGACCCCAGACAAGGTGTGACCCAGGAAGGTTTCAAGGTGACAAAGTTGGGGGTTTTTTTGCATATCATATCGTCTAGCACACTTCGGCTACTAAAACATCTTGTGAGGACATGTATTAATTCTTGACACTGAGATCTATTAATATACCTTGAAGCCAAGTGAATTATGTGAATCTGCTGTTTCAAGCTGTAGAATTCTGCCATATCTAGGAGGAAATATTTTGCTGTAGGTAGATTAATGTTGAAAGCTTGTCAAGACAAAGTTTAATGTTGAAAACTTATTCTTCCTCTTCTTGCCAGTACTTGAGATTCTATACTAAATCTCATTTGTAATCTGAGGAAAAATAGAGATATAATTTCTTTTGTATATATCTATGTTATTACAGTTCAAATGATATAGTCTTTTGCCTATTAAAAAGTGCATCCCAATGAATGATCTTCCAGAGGGTAATTTTTGCTCCCGTCTGAGAGCTTCTCTTGTGGAATACAGTGTGTCTTTACTTCCCAAATAATTTAATTCATGCCTGTTGCAGGATAAGTAATTCAGATAACTCAACGTTCTGTATTAAGAATTAACAAAAATGCAAATAAGAGATTTGCTAAATAGCCTTTGTGGAGATAATGGATGGAATTTAAGGTGCTTTGAACCTTAAAGCTTTGACTAGACAGAGAATGCAGTCTGAACAACAGATGCCAAGAAAGCGTCCTGGTGAGCGTACAATGCAAATGTGGGTTTGTTTTTGTTTGAAAGATTTGTTTTAAAGTATTTTTCAGTGCTAAGCCTTCATAACTCCTCTCTGTACCTATAAAGTGTCCAAGCAACATATAAGGCAATTGACAACACAGTTTTTCAAAACTTCAAATAAATAAATATATAAGGCCAGTTTTTAAAACAGTTACTGAGTGAAGTTTGTAAATGCTTGGATAATTTGTAAATTGTCCCTCTAGTTACATTAATTTCGTTTATATAAAGATATTAATTAATGAATTTATGTGGATTTGACATAAATATATCCATAAGTAATTGCATAAATCTTCATTCTGTCTCCTCTAAGCACCTACCTGCTTGATAAGTGATTCAGGGATATGTTAAGCAGGGGGAGAAACATAGCCCTGTTAGTTTGAAAGTTCACAGATCGTGTTCCTGTCTATGGAGAACCTCCCTTTGCTGGCTTTGGTTGTTACGAGGTGATATATTTCTGCAGTTTAGGCTGTCTCATTGGCCATACTGTGCCGCAGTCTTTCATTGTGTCAGTGGGTCTCTGTAACCCAGAGCAAGGTATGCATATATGGTGTATCTGCCCAAACTGTGTAAGGAATGAACTTAGAACACTTCAGACACTCTAAAAGCATAAACCTATGTGCATTTTACTTATTTTTCTGTTTCTCTTCCAAATAAGCAAAGGATATACAGCCCTAGCCTTACTGTGAGAGCTATGCAAGCTCATCAGGTGCAGTTTGGCCAGGCTCTCTCCTTAATAGTCTTTTTTGATCCTGCATTGGCTTTGTGACAAATCCAGGAAAAAAGTGGCAAAAAAAAGTCTGTCTGTGAAGAACTTCCTGCACACTCAGGCTTGAGTCTCCCAGTGGGAGACACTCAGACAGAAGCTTAAATGAGGTTGTGGCATAGTAGCAGTTAGCATTTGCTTATCATTGCTTATTTTTGCATTAATGTTTGACTTGAGATGTGTGTCAGAAAAGACTTGTTTGTCTGGCCAAAATCAATTCAGCAGAAACATTAGGGGAGAAAGAAATGCGAGAATTTTTGATGGTCAACAAACTTTTATGCTGAACTAATTTGTATTTGCTAAATTGAAACTCCTTCTGTCATAAGTGCCATGAAGTTTCAGTCCTTTTAGAAAATAAATGGAGTAGTTTAGCCAGTCAAGAAAAGAGAACTGTAAACCCATCTCTGGTTGCAAAAGTATTTCTTGCAGTATTTCCAACCTATACCTATTGTCTTTCCATAGGTTGATGGGATACTGTGCCTGGCTGACATTCTTACTGATAACACCCATTCTGAAGCTACTCATGCAGAAGCAGCAGCTGTGATTGCACAGATCACTTCTCCACACCTCACGTTCACTCAGCATCTCAGCAGCTTTCTGGAAAACATGGAAGAAATTGTAACAGCACTTGTCAGTAAGTTCTTCATGGGACTTTTGAGTCCTTCCAGTTAAAACGATACATTGGGGTAGGACCCTCTTTCATTAGAAATATGCCTTAAATAATGTTCGTCATTCTGTCCTTTATAGATAAAAGAATTCAGTAAGTTTTCATTCTGAATCAGAGCATTCTGCAATTACATGATATTTTTTTATTCCAGTTCATGTTTGAATAGAATATATGCATATTTGTCAAAAGAATATCTAGGTGAAATTCTATCATTAGAGCCACAGAAAGGACTCAGCAAAGCATTCTCTTGTCCCATGTTTGTCTGTAAAACAGCATTTTCTAATAATTGCTAACCTTTATACTTCTTGTTTTTTCGGAACTTGCTGGAACTCAAGCTCACCTATCTAAATTTGTGTGATACTTCGGAGGAAAAGTACAGTATAGTATAATCCATGGGCATTGTTACAAAAAATAAAGGATGTGTCTTTCTTGTCTAGGCCTCCGATCCATGGTGAAATGAGACTAAGCTAACAGCAAGCTTTTCCTTAACCTGTGTCAGGGAGACACTTCAGAAAAACAAGATATTTCCCGTGAGAAAATGGAATCTCTTATTTCTGGCACATGCTCCATCCTTCTGAAATAGCAGAAACTTTCAGTCAAGCAGTCTCTTCCTCTCTCTGATCTGAAAATTCAGAGATTCCCAGAGCTTCATGTCAGAAAGTACAGTTTGGGTCATCTAGTTTGGTTTCTCATGTATAACAGATCAATACATCTGGATATTTCTCTACTGATCCCAGTGGTTACTGTTAAACTACAGCACTTCAATTTTCATGCATGGTGTTTTTTGTTGGTTTTTGTTTGTTTATTTGTTTTTAATAGAACAAGAAAAGCTTATAGTAGTGCCAGTGCTAGAGGGAGTTAACTGAGATGTATTTAGGCATAATTCTATAGGCACCAAAAGAACTAGTACTGCAGAAATCAAAGAAACAATTTATTCCTGATGAACAGACTGTCCAGCAACAAATATTGAAGATTCTGTCCTGAACCTGCCCTGAACTCAGTGGGTGGAATTATCCTGTGCTGAGCTTGCTTCTGCTGTAGGTAGACTGCTAGGGACATCTGACCTGACTTATTTAAGGTGATTTTCTACATTAACAGCATAGCACAGTCAAGGAACAAGCTGAACGGACTATACAGAAGATGCTAGCATGTGGAGCATTTCTCCAGTTGTCACTGTTTTAAGTTCCACGGGAATTTTTGTAGTATATACTCTGCCCTAGAAATGTGAGCATTAAAAATAGAACATATATAACTTTGGAAGAGTCCTTTAAGTAATCACACACCAGTTTCCTTGTAATATTTATAACTCAGTAATTGAATTACTGTAATATGTTTAATTTTTAAACCATGCTGAAATCCAATTGCCAGATGATTCAGATCTTGGTTACAACACATGTGCAAGGAATTAAAAGGGAGCTGTGTCTTCAGCACTTCTTATTGAAGCTGGAAAATATGCAAGGTGATCCTTGACTATAGAGAAAAAGGCTTAGAGATAGGCAACATGTTTACGTATCTTGTTCTAAAGAATAGGATACACAGCAGACTTTTTCTCTCATGGATCAGTTACTGTTAACCCTCTGCCTCTTGCATTTAATTTTATTTAGTTATATCATGCTTTATGTTGAACAACGTTCAGTGGAACATTCCCTGTAGAACGGGGTACTAGGTAACCATCTCACTAATTCGATGAATGTTAGAAACACTTGCTGTCTAGGTTCATATTTACAATCTTTCCCTGCTTTTGTGGTTCAAATGAAGGTGTCTAATGTTAATATCACCCTAATGCACCCTAACTCTGTGACATATGATATAATTAACAAAATTACGATGATTTTCTTTGTTTAGTTTTTTATCTTCATAATTATGAACTTGGCCTTAGATATTGAGATTGCTAATGTAAGCTGCAGATGCTTAAATATTGCTCTGAAACTCCTAACCATGTTTTTTTTGCAATGAAGGAATAACATTTATTCTACTTATTTTCTGCATTCCTAGAACTGTGCCAAGAAGCCTCATCTGGTGAAGTTTTCCTGCTGGCTTCAGCAGCTCTCGCCAATATTACTTTCTTTGACACCATGGCTTGTGAAATACTGCTCCAGTTAAATGCAATGAAGATCCTTTTAGGAGCATGTTCAGATAAATACATAGTGGATACTCCATATTCCAGAGATCAGGTGAGCAGTTTCTCAGCAAGGTGCTGTCTGAGCTCATTTGTGTAAGAGTCAAGAGGTTTCAGCTCTATGTCTGACAAAGTCAAACCCAAGTTGCTTTCATGTCTTCCATTCTTGGCCCTTTTCAATATATATCTCTTTCTTTATATGCTTCTGTTCATTTTTATTATGAGGATTATGAAATATGACCAGGTTTAATGTAATTTTAAAAATAAGAAAGCCAAATTCCTTATTTCTAAGATACTAGATTTTGTTTTTTCATCATGAAGATGGCCAAACAGTGACACAGAGGCCCAAAGAGGCCTCTGTCTTTGGAGGTATTCAAAACGTGACTGGATAGAGCTTTGAGGCAAATAAGATATATATAAAGACTGCAGCCTAACTATACAACCATCACTTCAAAGATGAATTAGCTCCAAAAGCTGAATAAGGATTTGTTCCTCAGCCCATTGACATCGGTGGGCTTTGAATCAAGTTTTAACCGCATGGTAGTTGGTTTGCAAGTTTTATTGGCAAATCCTGCTGATGTACTCTGCATTTCCCTTTCTTTTGTTCACCAGGGTTTTTTTTAGCAAAGAGATACATAAAATTAAAGGTCTGTGCTAATGCACAGATGAAGTCAGAGGGATTTTTTTGTTCCTTTCAGGTACTACCATGCAATGGGGTACTGCAGAGGCACTGCTTATTTGGCATCTCAGTGTCGAATTTTGCCACAGCAGAGTAACAAGAATGAGGCTTGAGGGTTTCAGTAGCTATTTCTAAGAAATGGAGGTTACTACTCAGCTCTGTTATCCTGCTCCTGTTTATGAGACATTGTGAATATAACTAAAATCTGTAATTCAGCCCTCATAAGCCCATACTCTTCCCACCTCTGAAGGACCCAAAAGACCTGCACTGCCACAGAAAGCTCTGTGTACCCTTCCACAGAAGCCAGGCCACAGAAATCAAAGCACAAGGGACCCTAGAAACTGATTACTGGTTTTCTGGAGGGGTTACTAGGGCTGCTTTAGCTTATAGTAACAGCACTCAGTAGTTTTCCAGCTCAGGAGTGTTTATGAAAAGATGGAGTTAAGCCCTAATTATGATATTGTTCTTTGGGCAAATCCAAGGACATCAGCTGTAGTGCTTGACGTGGCTATATACTATTATTACAAATATAGAATTCTTTATGTTCTTTTTTCATTCCTCTTGTATGCTCTCATGGTTCTTATTTCCTTATTTATTTATGCCCTCATCTTAATTCTACTGTCAGCTGCAAGTTTGCAGTTTGCTCTGTGGGTACCATAGCAAGCCCTTTTTTTGTTTGAGGAAGACAGACATATAAAGAAGTATGTGTGTCTTTATTAGGTAAGAGACAAGTTCCAGGCCTTTTGCAGCTTGTGGGACATCTCATTAGTTAGAGGAACAGAGAATTGAATGGCTTCATTCCAAGAACTGAGGAGATTTCATCCCCAATAACCCCTTACATTCCTTCTTGGAATGAAAAACTAGCTGAGAAACACCACAGGTGTTTTCTGTGGCATGCTGCAGTAGGTTTCTGAGCTGACTCCTTGTTATTTCTGCAGCAATGGGGACTATAAAATCCTACTTTGTGTTATCCTGTTACTGAGCACCTGATGCTTACGCAGAAGCTGAGCACTGCTCATCCTGTCTTTAAGATGTCAGTGTTGCTAGTCAAGCAGCTCTGGTAATAAAGAAAGCCTTACGAGAAGTATTCTTTTGAATACCTGAATAAGCATGTGTTTGAGCAGGTTGTTCACCTTTCAAAAGGGTAGTTGTTTCAGTGTTATATCTGGAGGGGAGAGTGTCTGCCAACTATGACAGTTTTATGGAATATTTCACTTTTTAATTTGCTCTGTGCATAGTTATTGCAATGGGGAAAACACACTCAGCTGGAGAGGAAAGCAACACTAAAAGAGTGTATTTTATAAGGGTATTCTAAATTGCCATGTTGGCTTTTGATATATATACTTTAATTCCTTTTACGTGCATAATACAGTTAGTAACTTTTCTCATTGTGTATATTCTTATGACCCAGCCAGTAAATATTTGCCTAAGGACACGTAGATTAAAGTTGAGTAGGTTTGGAAATATTTTTATGCAAGGTTTTATTTTGGAATATGCAACCGCTGTGGAATTCTATTAGTGAAATTAATGGAACACTATTAATTGAATTAAGCTAGACTAAATGTTGAAACAACTAAACAAAGTACGAATAAGACACATAGCAAATACAACAAAATATGGTCTAATTCTCATAAAATGTTATAAAGAGCCTCTCAAACTTGAATGCCCTATTTTTCACACAGAGCTTTAATTTAAGTGACACAATTATCCTACACAAAACTACCCAGTAGTTCTAAATACGTTGCTACTTTAACGTTACTGGTGATTTTAAAAATTGTAATTTGCTAAAATAGACTGAAGGATGCTCACTGCAAGCCAAAAACAGGAGAAAGATGGCTGAAATGCAAGAAAGGAACAGTGAGTTCTGTTTTCACTTGTGCCATTATATCTAACCTTAAAGCATTACAGTGAGATTACTTATTTTATAACAAAATACTTTGTATAAGAGTTGTCAGATAAAGCGATAATTTCCAGATACCTTAGCCTCTAGTTTTGGGTCAAAACAGATATGAATGAACCATGTTCTTTTTATTGCTGCAGATACTTATTTTCTCCGTAGCAGGTTTTTTTTTTTACATCAAAGCAGCATCAAAATATCCTTTCTGAAGGGTTCATGACTAAATTCAGCAGTGTAATGTATATAGTCAGGTGTCCTAATGGAGTTTAGGCACTGTCAGAAGAAGGGCTTAGCCAAAACTCTTGTCATTCGAAGCCTTCTTGACTTCAGCAGGCATCTCAGATTCTACATAGAAAAATATGAAATATGTATGTTTCTGCACAGTATGTTTATGTATACTGATTTTTTCTCTCTGCATTCCCACTTGTCTCTTCAGTGTTGCTAGTGTTCTCATCTTACCTGTGAAGTTGTGGAGGTACAGTCTAACAGCTTCTGATCTTCTGCTATTCAGGCAGACAAACAATTAATGTGCAGTGAACACATCAGTCTTAAAGTGGTTATTTCTAGATCTAAAATCAGTGAATTACGTTTCCAAAAAGTTTGAGGTGGAGAAAGACTTTAAAGTTGAAAGAGAAAAAGGAAATGGTTGCTGTGTTTTTTCTCCTAAATTCTTTCCTGTTTTCTTGGTGTCTGGGAGATGCTGCAGGCTCTGCAGTTGAGACCTTCTGTCTCATTTAAGATTTGAAACACTTTGTATTATTTTTCCTCTAGGTTCCAGATCTTTTTATCTTTTCTATTCTTTTCAGGGCATTTCTGTTTTCCTTTTGTTGCCTTTTTCCTCTTTTTCTCTTACATGGGAGACTGTAGAGTCAAAAGGAGAGCTGAGTCAGATGTTACTTTAACAAGTAGTTTTGATTTTCAAATATTGCCTAACACCCAGTGAAAGACTTTGAGAGTGATGTTTTTGAGAAGAATATTAACAGACCTTTTAGACTTTTGAAAACCTGTGCCATCTGATGTCATCTGCAAACTGACTGAGGGAGCACTCAATCCCCTCATCCAGATCATTGATAAAGATGTTAAACAGGACTGGCCCCAAAACCGAGCCCTGGGGAACACCACTTGTGACTGGTCACAACTGGATTTAGCTCCATTCACCACAACTCTCTGTGTTTTGCCATCCAGCCAGTTTTTGACCCAGCAAATAGTGATCCAGTATTGGCTATATCACACTGAGAAAATACATTTTCAACTAATATAGCTAGAAAGAGAGGTGATAAATGTTATAATTGATTTAAACACCCTTAAGAAATTAAACAAGAAGCAAGAGTGCCAATAGCAGATGCAAACATTAAAATTAGGCCAAAAGTCCTATGACTGTATCTGAGATTAACCATTCCCTTATATCATTGATATCCTAATTAGATTTCTATGTAAGACTGTAATTGCTGCCCTGATGTCCCTTCTTTCTTTTTAACTGGTTATCTCTGTCTTTGCATATATATTTGAACAATATAAAAACACAAGTAACAGTATTGACTGGTATTATGTGCTCAGTATTATGGATTGTTACACTTCAGGGGTTCAACACCGACATTCTCTCTTAAACACCAAATCTTTTTGAGGCAAAATGCCTGTTTTGTTGCAATTCAGCCTTTCACATTTAGATTCGATGCCTGATAAGGCAATGTGCTCCAACTTGCAAAACAAGAGATGCAGCTGGAAGAGTAAAAATCTCAGCTCAGTTGAACTCTGCTATTCCTTGCTGGCTTAGCATGCTGAGCATTTTATTCCTGGGTCTGCTGTTCTGATTTTGAAGAAGGAACTTAACTTCTCTGCATTTTTGTTTAATCATCTGTAAAGTTGGGCAGACATTGCACTTACTCATTGTAAAGTCTCTCTAGAGGAAACACGCACTGTCAGCACATCCCATTGCAGTTGTTATTTTCTGCCCTTGCCTGCCAGGTTCCCAGTACAACCAGGCTGGTGCTGGAGTAGGGCTGTTTATTGCAGAAATGACAACAAACAAGAGACTTTGCTGCAGGCTGTACCAATCATACAGGTGTAAGTCAGCGATGGTTACGTATGCATTTTGCTGCATTTGTTGTCTTTTTTTCTTCAGTCCTTCAGGAAATTTGGTATCGGATTTTGAACAGACTGATTTTTGCCACTGATCTTTTTTCCAAAACAGAATCACTGCTGTGATTTCAGTCTTGAGCAGGTGAGCTCATAAACAGCGTTTCTGCAGATTACAGCTTCTTGTCTCTTCCTCCTCCTCAAGTAGAAAATTATTACCTTCCGGGACAGGCACCAGAAATTACTTCCTGACCACTCTGCTTGAGTTTGTGGCAGCTGAACTAGTTCTCTGCATGTTCTTCCTCTTCTGAAATGGGAATATTACAAGATCATAGTTCCCTGACACAGCCTCATAGTACAGCTAGGTTATGCCAGCTGATCCTGTCTCTAACCAGTATTATTTGATATGAAAGCTTACCTCCGGCGACAGAAAGACCTATTGGTCTGCTTATATAGGTATATTTATTACTCTGTTTTCAGGAAGAAAGCTTTAATTCCCAACCACAGAAATGGCTTTTAGAAGCAATGGGAATTTAATTTTCTATTTTAGGCAATATAGTAGCTATATTTCTAGAAATATAGAAAATTCCTAGAGAATTCTTAGCAAAGTTTTTTTCTCCCAATAAATAGTATCCTGAAGGGTGTTTCTGCCTAGACTTGATGTAATGCCTGTTCTTCACCTCTGCTGTATGCACTTTTTTGCTGTCTCCCTGTGGATGTTTTAAATTTACATTCAGAAACAAAGACTCCATCTTGCTTCTGATTATTTGTCAGATGCCCTTTTCCTTCTGGGTGTCTGGAACTTTGCAGACACACTCTGATTTATCCTTATGACATTTATTTGAACGAATTACAAAATACACATATAATATGTAGCAAAAATTAATTTTACTTAGCGATGAATCAGCCTGAAAGGAGTAATTAACTAAGAAAATTAGCAATTCTGTATTGATCTACACTACCAATCAATTAAATTACTTACTAATTCTCATTTTGAGGCTGCATCTTTCTATTTGTATTGGGACTGTCAATAAAGGCTTACTGAATAGTGTGCCTTTAGTATCAATAAAGTTACATTAGCATCACCTCTTTCACTTCTGTAAATACCTGCCCCTCTCCCAGGTGAGGTAAGTGACCCTCAAACGTGGAAGATATTGTCCCTTTAACAGGCTGAAACATATGCTTGTATCTTCCAAATCCTACTGCATCTTTATTCCTGAGTAGCTGGTTTCACAATAATGAAAAACACTTTCAGATCACCTTAAAATCTCCCATTACGGGAAAGTTATCAAAGAAGTTTTCTGTTTCTTATGTACTCTTTAGATTTAAATCTCTTTGTTACCTAAAGCATTTGAGATTTACACTTTCAGTGTACGTGTCTTAGTTCATAACAAGACATTTTCATCTAGTTTTCACTTTCGCAACAACTGTTCAGTACCTTTGTGTACTGTTTAATGAGCACTGATCACCCTCAGTTGTTTAGAAGGGTGAAAGTGTTATTGTAGTGTTAGTGATCACATTTTCCAGCAAGAGAAATTCCAGGCTGACTGTTGCTCCTCAAGAGCTTTTGAACAAAACTATTTTAAAAGTTCTTAATTAACTGTGGTTTCCCAAATTTAAATCACATTTGACAACTGAAATTCCTATGGTTCAGTGCAAAGCAGGCCACAGAACTAAAATGGAAGGTTCATGATTCATAAGTACGTGTGAAAGGTTT